ACTATGTTTTTGATATTGGTATAATATTTTTAGTTGGGTTATTTAGCTATCCAAAATAAAAAAAACATATATTTGGCAATTTTTAAAACATTCAGTAATATAATTAAATAAATAAGACAGATTGTAAGGAAAAAAGGATAAAAGTAAAAATGATGACTTGTTTCGATTAGGTTGGAATTGATTGGAATGAATTTAATTGGAATCGATTGTATTGCATTAGATTATGTTGGTTTGGTGATTCGGAATTTTTTTATCAGTAAAAGTAAAAGGTATTGGAATATATTATCTATTTATCATAATAGAAATAATTGTAATAATAGAAGAATAGCAACAAATAATGTTATAATAAAAGTAATCATAATAAATAGTAATAATAATAATAATAATAATAATAATAATAATAATAATAATAATAATAATAATAATAATAATAATAATAATAATAATAATAATAACTACATTACATTTAAGTTTTAGGGTATATAGAATAGTTAATCAAAATTAATTAAATTAATCAAAAATTAAAATTATATAAAAAAAAAAAATTTAAATAAAAATAGTTTATTATTCATATAAATTTATTAAATAAACATTTAAGAAAATAAAAAATGCAATTTTTTTCTTTTTCTTTTTTTACTTTTTTTAGTTTTTTAGAACATTTTTTTATTTTTAATATTGAATTATAAATAATAAATAATAATGAAACATTTAAAAAACAAATTAAATATAAGCATTATGTATCATCATCAATATGTATACATAAAAAAGGCCAACCTAATGCTTCCCAATTTTAAACATTTTTTATTAAATATTAAATATTAGATCGGATGTAACAAGAAAAAAGTATAACAATAATTTCTTTTTTGAATTTTAGGATAGTTAATAAAATAAAAATAGCAACTAAAAGAAATAAGCTATAAAATATGAAAGTGTAGCCATATTAAAAGATTAATAATAGTACAAATTAAATAGTTAATATATTCCATTTTATGATTTTTTTATTAATATTTTTGATGATTATTAATACACTACTTAAAAGATAAAAATTCATTTAGAAAAATAAAAATAAAGATAAAATAAAATAAAAACAAAATTAGTTCAAAGAATAAAATAAAATAAAATTTTATACACACTTATAGTTTTAAGCATATTTCAAAAAAATTTGTAATAATTTACCGACATTTGTAGTTTGGGGTTAAAAAAATAAAAATAAAAAATAATTCAAAAAAAGTAATTTAACACACTTGTAGTTTAAATAAATTAAAAATTAATTTAAAAAATTATTTAAAAAAATGATAAATATAAATATTGTTTTATTGTTATAATTATTTTATTTGTTATTATGTCTCACTCTAGCAATAGTTGTAATTTTTATAAAGATAGTTACTATGTCAAAGATGACTTTTTCAACCCTGAACCTTTTAGAGAAGGATGTTGTGATGAATGCCGTCAAAATTTCTTAAAGGTCTATATTGAACTACGTGAAACATTGGATACATTTATTACTCTTTTTAGGGGCATTAAGCTTAGCAAAGATGGAAAAATTCCAATGTTTTCAATGTTTGAAGTGGCTGATTACTATGAAGGTAAAGATAGATATTTGGGTGGGGTAAATAAAAACATTCAAGATTTGTTTGATATTAATTTATTAGACTTAAACATTCCCTTTTTAAAAAAAAGAAAGGATATTCCCAAAGATGCTGAAGAATCGTCATCAAAAAAAGATGAAGATAAAGAAGAAAAATAAAAATTAAATTTTTTTTTTTTATAATTTTCTCTTAATTTAAAATGTCTTTAATTAAAATTTTTTATAATTTTTTCTTCCAATATTTTATTTTGTGTATGAATTTTCACCATTGACAATATTTTTGACAGCTTTATTATATTTTTCTATGTTTTATTATATTATTTTTACTTTTTCCATTTATTGTTTCTATCATATAAAATTTCATTCTTTGTACTTACAATAAAATTGACATCAGCATTTTGCAAAAATAATAAAAAATTTTAACCATGAATTTTTTAATTTATTTATTTTTATTTTTTTTTTATTCATTCAAATATTGGATGATTCGTTGATTATTAGGTTTCTTTCTTAATTTTTCGATTCACTTGAAAATCGAATATTAAAACTTGGTTGAATAAAAAATCGAATATTAAAATTTGGCGGATCGGAGCCTAAATTTTGAGGTCTAGAGTATTTTGGGATCAATATAACATCAACTCCATTGTTATTGTTAAATTTTTGAAAATTTCAAAACTATTATTTGGACAGTTCTCTTGTAAAACATTAATATCTTAAACATTAAAGCAATAATCGCCAAGCTTGATCATAATTATCATTCAGTACCATAAAATATGTTCATAAATAAATGGTATTGAACCTACACCTCTCATTGAAGCACAATTCCATGCATTCACTGAAACTCCAGTTGGTCTCTTTCTTGATAGAATATCATTTGGATGGTATCTTTTACCTTAAATCCATTTTTTTAATTTCTAATTTATAAAAATATCGTTCAATTCAAGTTCCATCTGCAAAAATTACCCTTTTCCAATCTTCCACTGCACAGTCACTAAATTGTATGGCCATTGATATCTTTACCTCTTTGTTTTTGTTGTGAGATAATGCTTACATTTCAAATTTTCAAATGTAATAACTTGGTAATGGAGTGAACTTCTTATTGTGTTAATTAAAAGTTGTTCATTATAATTCTTCCAAAGATATAGTTTAGTTTGTAGAATATTATGACATGTCCCATCCGATAATAAATTTTTTATAACCATTTCAATTTAATCTTTCATAGTTATTTTACTACCTGGATATTTTTTAGGTTTAATTGGATCATTTTTTATTGCATAATTTCTCAAAATCCCTTCAATTGTTGATTACCTGCATCCAACTATTTCTTCTTTTTGAATGGTTAATTCCATCTTCATAAATTTATAAATTATTTCTATTTTTTCAAATTGACTATGTCTTTTTGTTTTATTTATTATAGTTTTATTAAAATATAATATTATAATAAAAATAAGAAAATAATAAAAATAAAAAGATAAAAATTAATTATCTTTCCATAAATAATTAACCTACTTTTTTAGAAAAGAAAATAAAAAAAAATAAAAAGAAAAAATGTTTTTGGTTATAATATTTTTTGATCTTGGTGATGAAGATGAAAATCTGAAAATAGTATCCTATTTGTTCCTAAAAACACCATCATTATACTCTATATATTATAAAAAAGGTGGTTGGGGCCTTAATTATTTAAGATAATTTATAATGAAATTAAATTATAATATTTATTTCATACCTATTAAAATTCCACTTTAAGGCATAATAATAATAATAATAATAATTATTGAATTAAAATTAATAGTATTGATTATTGGGTGTAAAAATGATCATCTATTGGGAATATTAATTATAGTATTTAATTATTAGTATTCATTATCAAACTAAATTTTTGTAAATATTGGTTCAAAAACCATCTTTAATTTAAACGAATGATTTTCTAATTCTGAAATGAAAATATTATAATTTTATAAGAAAATATTTTTAAAAAAAAATATAAAAAAATAAAAATTTGATAAAATTAAATGTTTTTTTTTTTTTTTTTTTTATATAAATTAAAAATTTTTTTTTTTTTTTTTTAAAAAATTTAATTAAAAGATAAATAAAATGGATATTAATAATAATTTATTAAATTTAATGAAATCAATTGATTTTTCTTGTAAAAAGCATAGAGATCAAAGAAGAAAAGATTCACACTCAACACCTTATATAAACCATCCAATTGGCGTTACATATAAACTAACACAAGCTGGTATAAATGATTTTGATATTCTTCAAGCTGCAATTTTACACGATACAGTTGAAGATACCAACACAACAGAAGAAGAACTTGTTAAAGAGTTTGGTAGAAAGGTTGCCACAATAGTAATGGAAGTTACCGATGATAAATCAGAATCAAAAGCCGATAGAAAAAGACACCAAATTGAACACGCTAAACATATTAGTAAAGAAGCAAAATCTGTTAAATTAGCCGACAAACTTTTTAATTTATCCGATATTCAAACCAATGCACCACCATCATGGTCCATTGATGTTATTCAAGGTTATTTTATTTGGGCCAAAGCTGTTATACAAAATCTTAGAGGAACAAATCAAATTTTAGAATCCCAATTGGATGAAATTTTTTCATCAACATTTATAAAAGGTGATAAACATTATCCAACCATCCCTTGTACTCCTGAAGAAGAACCAAAATTATTGGAAAACTATTATAAAATTATTATGTAATTTCATAAATAAAACAAATAAAATAATTAAAAAAATAAACAAGTAAATAAAAAATAATTTTTATTTTTTTAATCGCCAAACCATAATTAAAATATCCTTTTATATAATTGATTTAAAAGTTATTTTAATTATTTCTAGAATTTAAAATTATTATTTTTTAAAATTATTTTTTTTAAAAAAAAAGAATGTTATAGATTCCAAAAGGAATAATTTAATCCTTCTCATAATAATTATTTTTTTTTTTTTTTTTTATTTTTTTTTTTTTTTTTAATTTTTTATAATTTTTTTTTTTATAAAATTTTAAAATTTTTTTTTTTTTCATTTTTTTTAATTTCGCACAAATATATTTATAAATATTACACAAATAAAATGACTTTTTCAGAACCACAAAATACCACAGAATATAACCAAATCTTTGCTTCTGCCGATGTTGCTATTGTTTATCTTACTGCAACTTGGTATTTATATTTTAAAAAAAAAAAAAAAAATTTTAAATGATCATTATCTAACTTTTTCAATCTATAAAATAAATCAGGTGTGGCCCATGCAGAGCAATTGCTCCAGTCTTTTCAAGACTTGCTAATGAAAACCCAGAAATTGCTTTTATTAAAGTTGATGTTGATAAATGCCATGATTTACCACTTGCCTCAAGTGTCACTGGTGTCCCAACTTTTGTTGCTTTCAGAACTAAAGTCGAAGTTGATCGTAAAACAGGTAGGATATTTTTATTTTAAAAGAGCAATTGTGTACTGTATATATTTATTAATACTAATTTTTTAAATTATAAATAGGTGCTTCTCCAGCTGCCATTGAAGGTTTAATTAAATTATTAAAATAAACAATTATAACAACAAAACACAAACCATATATTTAAAGATTTCTTCTTATAATATAAAAAAAATAATAAAAAAAATGTAAATAATTTACACAACAAAATTTAATTTCTATAATAAAATAATTTTTTACAAATATTTTTTTTTATCTTTTTTTTTTAACAATTTATAAATTAAAAATTAAATAATTGTTTTTTTATTTTAATAGTTTACAATTTTTATTTAAAGTTAGGTGGAAGCAGATTGTGTAATAATAGTTTCATTTGATTTTGTTGTTGTATTTAAATTTAAATTTGAAATTGTATTATTTACTGTATTTGAAAATAAAATATTATTATTATTATTATTATTATTAAATAAATCTTTTAAGTCATTAGAGATTGGTATTGAATTTAAAATTGAATTATGGAATTCATCCAAGTTATCAATATAAACATGATGGCCACTTCTACTTAACATGTGAATGTTTTTTATATTTTTCATTTCTTTTTGAAGAAGGAAACCAGGTGTAGGATCGATCCAAGAGTGTTCACCATAAATAAATGAAATGTTTACATTTGAGTCGATTTGCTTCATACGTTCGAAAAGTGGAGAAGAAGCATAACCAAATGGCAAACTTACCATACGGAATAAATGTTCTCCACTGGCAGGCTCTAATGAATTTGAGTGATAAATATAATCGGAAATAATATTTTCAGTATTATCTGTTGGTTCAATTGGGAAAACATGTTGAAATTTCATTAAAAGATCTCTTCTAAATTTGCTTACTAATTTTGGACCCATTTTTCTAACAATGGATAAAGATGCATCAATTGATAGATATTTTGAAATTAAACGTTTTGGCATTGTTAAATTTTCTTCGAAATCTATTGGTCTGGCTGGTAATCCCCATCTATAAAATAGTTTATAATAAAAAATTAATATCATATATATATAAAATTTAAAATTATATTATTAAACTTACGGGTCACATAATAAAAGTGTATTTACTTTGTTTGGGTATTTTAATGCATAACATGCACTGACATAACCACCTAAAGAATGACCAACTAAATGAAATTTATCCAATCCAACTTTTTTAGACCATTCATTTATAGACTCTGTCCATGTATTTTCAGCTTCGTCAAGTGTTTTAATTTGTTCTGGATCAGGTCTTGAACTACGTCCAAATCCAATAAGGTCAATGGCATATACTGTATAGTATTTACTTAGAAAATCTAAATTACAACACCATAGACCTATTCCAGCACCAAATCCATGTACTAAAACTATTGGTTCGCCTTTATCCCCTATTTTAATAGTATTTATTACTTGTCCATTACCAATATCAATAAATTTTTGTTCATATTCTGTTTTTAAATCTGTATAAAATTGAAATAAACAATTAGTATAATAATGTGCATAAAAAAGTTTTTATTTTTTATAAAACATACTCGAAAAAATTTTTTTTTCTGCATTTTCTATATCAATTTGGGTTGGGGCAGTTCTCCAAATTGAAAATGTTTTAAAATAGTTTAACATTAGAAGATTATTTTGTAAATTTGAAAAATTATTTTTTATTTTTTTATTTATAATTGTTGTAAAATTTAATTTTTGTGAATTATTATTACTATTAAAAATATTTTTTTCTTTTGTTAAGTTTCTTCTTGTTTGCTTTGAAAATAAAAAGTTTTTAAAACCTTTATTTAATAAATTATTATTTATAAGTTTAATTTTTTTATAATATATATTTATCTATTAATATTGAAATAAATAATAGATTAGTTTAAAGTTATTTTGTTTTATTATAGTTAAAAAGAAAAAAAAAAAATTTTTAAATTTAAATTATAGTTAAAAAAAAAAAAAAAAAAAAAAAATTTAATAAAATGAAAAAATAAATAAAATAGAAAAAATAAAATATTTTGGGGGTAGTTAGCTAAATATTATTTATTTATTTATTTATTTATAAATACCTTTTTTTTTTTTTATAAAAATAATTAAAATATAAAAAAATAAAATATAAAAAAATGAAAAAAAAAATAAAAAAAATAAATTTTTATTTTATTAAATTTTAAATTATTATTTTTTATAAAAATCTTTTTTTTTTTCTATTTTTTTTATTTTTTTTTATTTTTTTTTATTTTTTTTTATTTTTTTTGATTACATAATTCACATTTCAAATTCTTTTTTTAAAAAATAATTATGATAGTCTCTACAAACTATTTTGGAATTGTAAGGTAATATTTTATAACACACGTCACACAAACACCCCCCTCATTCACTACTATTCAATTATTTGTCTTTTATTATTTCTATGAATTTTAAAAATAATAATAATCAATAATTAAAAAATAAAAATAAAAAAATAATAATCGATAATCATATATAATTTTTTTAAAATCAAAATTTTTATATAAATAAAATTTTATTAATTTTGATTATTAAATTTATTTTCTAATAATTTAGCAGCTTCAGAACGATTTAACATTTTTTTAAAAGCAACATCTCTTGGTACAGCTTCACCATCAAAGAAAGGTGAAAAACCACATGTATCACATAAACCAAATTGGTTTGGAGAAATATGGTTTGCAATTTCAAGTCCTAGTTTTTTAATTTCATCAACTGATTCTACATTTCTATCAATTCTAGTTACACCAAAGAAAACTTTTTGGTTTGGTTTTATATGGGAAGAAACTACTTGTAAAATCTTTTCTCTATTGTTTTCTTGGGCATATTCAATAAAGACTCTGCCTAATTGAAGAGAAAAGAGACCTGGTAATAAATCTTTGGTGATATCTACTGTTTCACTATGTGGTGAACCAAAATCACCACCTCTACATTCATGGATACCAATCTTTTGTAATTCTGCTTCAGAAAATCTTGAAAGAAGTGTTGCAATCAAGCCAATCATTGCATTAAAGAGAGAACCAGATGGGTCAAGTTTTAACGAAAGTCTAAGCTCAGTAGCATCAATTTGAACAAAACTAGCACCAGCTTCAAAGCATTGACGAATATCTTTTTCACATTCATTCAAAAGATCACCAATGAATTGATCACGAGAATAGCCTTCAATTGGATCAGATGGGTATACCAACATTAAAGCAGAAGGTGAAATTATAGCTTGTTTATATGGAACACCACCACAATTAGGAAGAGCCTCTTTGACGAAATCACTTGCATATCTAGCATAACGGAATGGAAGGTTTTTACCATTTAATTTTGGAATATGACGGGAATGACCATCTAAAAAGTCAATTGAAACTGCAACATTTGGATCAACAGACTTTCTTTCATCTTTTCTATCAAAATAAACTGAACCATCACCATTAAACTGATTAGATCCAAATATTGGATATCCAATAAATGAAATTTTACTTTGTTCACCATCACAAATACAACTAAAATATGAATTTTTAAAGAAAATAAAAAATATTAGCAATTATCTTTTTTTTTTTTTTTAAAAAAAATATATTTACCTTTGGTTAGTCTTAATAAATTCACCAATTGTTTCCTTTATAGCTAAATTTATATCTTTATTTAATGTTTGTAATTCAACTTTACCATTTCTAAAATCATTTATTTCCTTAATTAATGATGATGGTCTTGGAATACTGCCAATTGGTTCACTTTCAACTTTAATATTTCCTATCATTTTAATTTCAACTATTTGGTGGGTATTTGTTTAAATAATTTGTTTAAAAAAAACAACTAATATTATTATTTTAAAAAAAAAAATAATTCAAAAAAAAAAAATAATTCAAAAAAAATAAAAATTAATTAATAAAAAAAACAAAACAATTATTTATACACATGCCCACAACCCCCCAATCATTCTTTTTTAGAAAAAAATTATCAAAAAGGGCCAATAATCATAAAGATTTAAAAAAAAAAAAAAAAAAATTTTTAAAATCATGATTTTTTTGTGACACCCCTATAATATACCTATAAATTGAGAAAGGTTTAAAAAAAATTGTTAATTTACAAATATACAATATCATCATATATATGTAATAAAGTGTGAATTGTTTATTTAAATATTTATTTATTTTTTGATTAAATTGAAATTAAATTTTTTAATCTTTTGTATTGACTTTTTCCTGAATAAACCATTTTCAAGTAATATTTTCCCAATAAAAGTAATAAGAAATGATAGTCGAAAATTGATCTTTTATCATTCATAAAAACTTTCATGTGTTGATCCATTCTAGTGACTCTATCTTTGTTAAACTCTTGTAATTGTTTTGGAATACTTTTATATTCCTCATCTTTTGTAATTATTTGAACCAATTTACTTGCATCTTCAATACCAATAACTGTACCAAATAAATTATCCTGTGGTAATTTATCAGCTGCATCACCAATTAAACATAATGAATTGTGTGCATATGATTTAAAAGTAAAGTCGCTAATTGTACTTAATGTTAATTCAGTTTGGTTCTAAAAAAAAAAAAAATTAATGTCAATTTAATAGTGATATAATGAAAAATGATTACTTACATCTTGAAGTGAAACAATATTATGAGCACCTAAATCTTCAAAAATTGAAAACTCACCAGAAACATAATTTTTAAAGTTTGTATTATTATTATCAATTTCATTTTGTTTTAATTGTTTCTTAAGGAAAGAGCCAGAGAGTGCAATTTTATTGTTTGGTAAAATAAAAGAGGTCAATTTCTTTTCTCTTTGGAATTGAGTAGTGATAATTGGTGGTGATAACTCTGCTGTATTATTGATAACTGTGCTAAAATAACGTAACATTGATGACTCTTTTCCAAACAATGAATCTTGAATTGTTGATTTTTCTAATTTATCTGATAAATACTCACGAACTGGATCTTGTGATTCATAACAATTACTTGAACCAATTACCATATCATAATGAACTTTTATATGTGAATTTGAAAATGTTATAAATACACCATCACCTTCTTCTTGTTGCTGTGTTTGTTGTTGTTGTTTTTCATTTTCTGAAATTTTTTTAATTTTTAAACCTTTTTTAAATGATACACTTCCTTCGCCTCTATTACTTTGAATGCATTGCGATGTTAAAATTTCTTTAATTTTTGATTCACTACTTGAAAATACTATTGAATTTGATGGTTGGATGTTTTTAAAATATTCTAAAAAGTTTAAAAATCCATATGATTGACCATATTTTGAAAAGTAACCAATACCATTTAATTGAGTACTATTATTTAAAAGTTCATCTGCAACTGTTCCACCTCCATTATTTTTAAAAGCATTGTAACAATTATTGGTTAAAACAATACCTGTGTCATTCTTTGAATTATTACCACTGTCAACGATTTCACTCGAAACACCTTTTTTTTTTAAAAAAAGTGCTAAATTAAAAAAAATTGGTTAGTATGAATATTTTGGTTATTAATTTTTAATTTTAAAATAACACTACCCAAAGATAAACCAGGGATATCATTTCCACAAATCAATATCTTTTTTTTTGAGATTGTTGAATAATTTCTTATATTTATAAAAGAAATTATTTTATTTGATGAAATCATTTTTGAATAAATTTTTTAAAAAATGAAAAAAAAAAAAAAATTTTAATTTTTTTTCATTTTCATTTTCTTTTTTAGTTTTTTATTTTTTTTATTTAAATAAATAAATAAATTTTAAAAAAAACTATTATATAAAAAAAAAAATAAAAAAATATATATTAAAATAAAAAAAATAAAAAAATAAAAAAAATAATAAATAAAAAAAAATAAAATAAAAATAAATAAATAAAAAAAAATAAAACTACAAATAAAAAAAAATAAAAAAATTTTTAAGAAAAAAAAAAAAAAATAAAAAAATAATAAAATAAAATGAGAAATTTTTGATATATAAAATTTTTTTTATTTTATTTTTTATTTTTTTTTTTTATTTTAATAATTTTTTAAAAGACAAAAAACAAATAATAGTCATAACATCCACACATAAATATTTATAATCTAAAAAAAAACAATTTTAAATTTTACATCAACTGTATTTTAACACAAAACCACACCACACCAATATTTTTTTTGAAACATACACATTAAAAATTTAAAATTTAAATTTCCAATAATATTTTTTTTTTTTCTGTTACACATAATTTCACACAGAACACTTTATTATTATAATAAAATAAATATTTATTAAAATATAATAATATTCTTTTTTTTCATTATTTTTTAAATTTTTTATTCATATTTTTATTTAGTAGTAATAATTATATATATAAACCTTTGTAGTAAACAAATAAATAAATAGTAAATTAATAAACAATGGCCAACTCAGAAATCAAAAGAATTACTGAAATCCTTTGGGAACAGTATGTATTTTTATAATTAATTAATCTAATATATAATTTTTTTTTTATTAGAATTAAAGGAAATTATATAAACAGTTAAAAAATATAATTTAAAAAAAAAAAAAAAAAAGTTTATTTTTTATTTAATTTTATTATTTGCTAAATTTATTAGTAGTAAGGTATCCTTAACTTTTCTTTTTATTGTTTGGAACAATATAAATGAAAAAAAGGAGTATCAATCCATTAATAGAGACATAATAAAAAAAAAAAAAAAAAAAAAAAAACCTTTTTTAAAGGGTGGAATAAGTTTTAAAACCTCCAAAAAATAAAATAATAAAACCTTTTTTTTTTTTTTACTCTCATTTTTTAAAACATTAAATAATTAATTAATAAATAAAATAAATAATAAGAATGAAAATTAATGATGAATCAGATAAGAAAACCTCAACTTTAACATCATCAAGAGTTTCTAAAGTTCAATATAATGATAGTTTTGGTTTTCAATTTAATACAAATAATGGTGTCCGTTCTGCTGCTACAAAAAAGAAATCTAAATCAAATAGGGATTCATTAGCATTTAGAGAAAGTCCAGGTAAACCAGGTACTAAAAGATTTAACCGTTATTTAAATACCCAATTTCTAAAGACAGCCGGTAGTCTTGGAGATAATATTAATGCTGAAATGGATTACTCTTTTACAGAATCAAAGAACACTCTATTTTATCAAGATTCTCAAAATTCTACTTTTTACTTTGACAATATGGTTAATATCACATGCGACCAAGAGGAAGAATTAATTGACTCTATCCAACAACAAACCAAGAATGCCCATAATGAATCAACTGCTGATGGCGAACAATTATTCTCTAAATTAAGAAAGAGCTTAAGACCATTCTTTAAAAAGTCATTCCTTTTGGATAATTTATTCATTCAAGAAACTGAACAACAAATCCTTGAATTTCTTGAAAATTCATCTATCAAACAAATGGAATACAACCAATCAAACCCATCAAAAAGAATCATTATCCATGGTTTATCCTCATACTATTCATTACAAAGTAAAAGTCATTCAACAAAGAATGGTCAACGTATTCTTGTCATTAGAAAACCAAGAAATCTTCCACCTTTACCTGAAATCTCCATCACTCAATATTTGGCAGCAGAATCAAAAAAGAAACCAATCCAAATTCATCAAGTCCAAAAGAAAAAAGTTATTAAAAAGAGCCAATCTATTTATATCAAAAAGAAACCAATTAAAATTGAAAATGAAATTAAAGTTTAATTTATTAAACTAAAGAAAGATATTAAATACTATTGTATTTTTTTCTTTTTTTTTTTTTTCTTTTTTTTTTTTTCAAAAACATATAAATACACTTTTAAAAAAAATAATTTTTTTTTTTTTTTTAAAATAAATAAAATAAAGTAAATTATTTATTTTTAATAATATTTAAATATTATTAAATTATAAATATTTTTTAATAAACAACAAAATTAAACTATTTTAAAAAATTTCCCTCTTTTTTTTTTTTTTTAAAATTTTTTTTTTTTATATTATTTTTTGTAATTTTTTTTAATATTAATAATAAAAACAAATAATATAAAAATGATAGATAACAGAATTAATGATGATATATTATTTATAAATAAAGTTAGTGAACTTTTAATCAAATATAATGACGAAGTGGATCATTTAAACAATGGTATATTGGATTATTATTATAATAATGGTTTTGATAAAAAAAATTTAAATAATATAGAAAAAGAATTGGGTATAGTTAAAGTAGGTTATTTTATATTAAAGTTGTTATTATTTATTATTAATTTTTTTTTTTTTTTTTTTTTTTACTTTTTTTTTTATAGGATTGTTTTTCAAAAATGAAATGGAATTTTATTGAAAATGGAAATAAACAAATTTTTATCAAAGAAATTATTAGTGAAACACAAATTACAACACCGAGTCAACAAAGTGTTCATATTTTAGAAGATAAAATAAAAGAGATAAAGAAAGATTTTAATGAAAATAAAGAGAAAACAAAGAAATTATTTGAAACCATAATTGAAATTATAAATAGATTTTCAGATTTAAATGAAAAGTTTGAAAAAGAGAAAATAAATTTACAAAACTCAATTATAAAAGCAAGTGAATACATCGAAAAAATAAATAAACTTTTCAATCAAAATAGTCAAAATCAAAATAATACCAACACCTTTTTAAATTTAATTTTAAAAGTAGAAAATGATAGTAACAATAACAATAATAATAATAATATTCAGCAACAACAAATCGAAAAAATCAATAGTTCAATAGAATGGTATAAAAAATTTAATGGTTTTATGGAGTCAATGAATGACTTACATTTTATTTCAAATATAGAAGGTGATTTAAATTCTTTACAATTTGAAATAAAAGGATTAAGTAACTCAAGAAATTCACATATTTTAACATTAGCTTTGGAAAATCAAATAAATTTATTAGATTATACAAACAAGTTGTCTGAAAAAAAGAAAAAGAATCAATTAATTAAAATTAGCAACTATACTTTAAAACCTAATATCGAAGAGTTAAATAAAGTTATTCAAGATATAGTATTAGACTCAAGTATATCACCAATAGAATCATTTAGTGAAATAACAGAGTTGATTTATGAAGTTAAAAATGTTATTTCAAACTATTATTCAATAGAGTCCGAAATTCAAGATGTATCGCTGCGTTATAAAGTTAATCGCCAGATGAAGCAATATGGTGAGTTGTCGATTCAATTACCAACAGGTTATGTTTGTAATTTATTTTTAGACTCAGATTATCCAAAGTTTTCAACAATAGAGATCCAATCAATTCAAAAACCAAATAGTAACGAGCTTGTTACTAATTTATCTTTTATTCAAAAGGAAATAAATGAAAAAAGATGGAATTTATTACAATTAATTGACGAATTGGATTATTATTGTAATTAGAATTAATAAAGATTTAAAATGTAAAAAGTTAACTGAAATGAAAATATAGTCTATATAAAAAAAAAAAAAAAAAAAATATTTTATTTTATACTTTTTTTATTTTTTATATTTTTTTACCAACCAAGAGTCTTTTGGATTATAGGTGAAGCAATTGAGGCCATAATTGAATGACCTTGTTCATTTGGATGACCATTACAACCAATATCATCTGAGGTAAGAATACCTTCAAGATCAATATAAGTGGCACCAACAATTGATGATACATTTTTAACATATTGACAACATGGTTGACCTATCATTGGACCGCAAACTAAAAAGAACTCTGGTTTGTTTGGATAATTGCTTTTTAAACTATTTACAAAACTAATATAGCCATTTTGGAATACCTCTTGTGATGGTGCTGGTTGAGTGCTATAATCGTTTGTACCTAAATTAATAACAACAGCATCTGGTTGGAATAAATCGAAATCCCAATTAGTTGTTGTATCAGTTGGGAGAATATATGGATATAAATCTGGCATAGTTTGGGTCGAGGTACTAGTTGGGGAACCATAATTACGAACTACACCTTTACCACTCCATGCTTCTAAATATAATTCAGCTTGAAGTTCTCTTGCTATAATTGCTCCATATGTTCTATTAAAAATAAATTAAAAATTATTAGTAATTTTTTTTATTTTTTATAATAATAGTAAACTTACACATAGTTATTTTCTGTATCTGGTGTAAATGGACATGGTGAAGTACCTAAATCACCGTATCCACATGTAATTGAATCACCAATAAATTCAATTTTACGATTTGTTGGTGGTGAGTATTGTTTAGTTGAGCAGGTGCTATCAACAACAAAACCATAAAATCTAACTGGCCCAAATGAAGCTTCGGTTCTCTTTGATAAAACAAGAGTATATGTTTGAGATGGATTTAAATTGTTTTGACCAATGATATTATACATTTGACGTGGGGTGGAGCTAACATTGAAAGCACCATAAAGAGCATTGTTTATGATTACATCAAACCAATTATCACCAGCACTATCTAAAACTACTTTTATGCTTTTTGTTCCTGTAAAAGTTAAAGTAATTTGACATCCAGACCATTCAAATGTATAGTAATCAGGATTGGTTGTATCCATTCTACCTGTATAATAAATATCCGAATTTGAAATATCAATTACTGTTTCTGATGAAGATGAGGATGAATGATTTTGACAGTTAATTGTTAAAACCATTAACATAAAAAATAAACAAATAATTAAATATTTCATTTTTTATCTATTAAAATTACAAATATTAATATATATGCAAAGTAAAAATATAAAAAAAAAGATTTTTAAAAATAAAAAATAAAAAAAAAATTATAAAAAATAAAAAAAAAAAAAAAAGATATTTTTTAAAAAAAAAAAAAAAAAACCTATTTTATTTTATTTTTAATCAAAGTTTGGAGAGTTTTGGTTAGACTTTGATCTTTTTTTAATTCCATTTAAAGAATTTGGTGATATTATTCTGTTACTAATTATTGGAGTTCTTAAAGAATTTTTTCTTTTTTTTTTTTTCTTATTACTGTTACTATTTGAACTAAATGAAAAATCACTACTACTATCGTTACTTGAATTATTATTATTTCTATTTATTGGTATTGGTAAATTATCAAAATTATCTATATTATTATCTATATTATTATTATTATTATTATTATTATTATTATTATTATTATTATTATTATTATTATTAATATTTTGTATTGGAGAGGCAAATGTAAAATCATCACTTATTATATCACTTGTATTGTCATCATTACTATTTGAAGTTAAAATATCTGAAAAAGATTCATGTAATGCTATAATATCATTTCTATTGTCATCCAAATACATTCCATATGTAAATAAAACTTGTTTGTTTTTTTTTAAAATTTCTTCCTGTGTTTCTATTAATTTTCTTAACTAAATAAAATAAAGATAAATTTTATATTAATAATTATATTAAATTAATAATTATGAATAAAAAATAATTACATTATCGATAACTTGTCTCGTTCTAAATAAAAAATAAAATTTTGGTACAAATAATAAACCTATAATTGCCACAATAAAAACTAATATTGGAATATTATATACCAAAAAATCGGTTAAAGAACTATAATTTAATGCAAAACCAATTGGAATTGTAATTATTAATATAAGGGTTAAAATATAAATCTATAGTTTTTTTTTTAAAAAAATTTTAAATTAATAATATTATAAATTATTTATTTATTCTGTATTATTTATTACTTACTAAAATACCAATATAAAAAAATTCATTAAACGTACCCGGAAATGATCTATATTTTCTACATTTGATTACTAAAAAACAACCAAGTAATAATATTGAAAATTCGTAAAGTGCTAAAAATATAAAAATTATATAATAGTTTTTTGAATAACAATATGATTGAATTGTTTCCCTATTTAGGTCATATGTGTACACTTTATGCATTGTAGTTGCAAAACCTGATACTATAATTAATATTACTGGAAATATTAAAATTGCACTTTCTACTTTTAAAAGAAAGCTATTTTCTATTGATAGATCCTGAAGTTCTTCAACACCACGAATTAATTGAAAAACACGATATTGCTTTATAAAAACTGCACTAGTTATTGTAAATATAAACAAAGGAATTAAAACCATTCTAACTGTACATGTCGGAGAAGATGTTTGGAATGATATAAAAACTGATATTAAACCAAAAACACAACCAATGATAATTATTAAAAGAAATAGAGGATTTGAGTAACGTATGATACCTTTTTTTCTAAAAATAAATGTCATTATGGCGCTGGATAATACAAGTAGTGAGACTATACCTGCTGCAATGCCAATAACAATTTTCGAAAAATGGGTTTTCCCGACATCAGTTAAGCAATAATACGAGTTTGGACCTCCAATGTTATATGGTTCTTGGCCTTTAATACAATTTACTACTGTTATTGGATAGTCTCTTCTGATAGCTTTAAAATTAGTTGTAAAGGCAGAAACTGTTAAGTTACAGTGTGTTCCTGGGGCACCACTAATTCTAACATTATAAAAAACACTAATACCTTTGTTATTTGAGCTTGTTGAAACTACACCAGTTAGACTCATTTGTTCACAAATCGAAAGTTGAAAAGAAATATCGCTCCTTCCTAAATATGGTTGGTCAAAGTGGTCATATGTTTGTATAATAATTGGACGAATGATTGATGGTGGGATTGTATTGGGCAACGTTGCAGAGAAGGTGTCAAAACCAGAGTTTATATTGCTTCCAAAATCGGCAGTGTTATTATATAGAATACAGGCACTGCAGTTGTAATCGCAAACTACTTCGTTCACATAGTAAACTATTGCACCTGCTATATTTGCGTGATTTTTGACAAATGTATTATTTTGAAATAAATATGGTTTACATTCGGCTTGTGAGTAAGATAGGTCTCTAAAAGTTGCTAAATTTCCATAATCTGCAGTGTTATTATATAGCAATGTATTTGTAACTGATATACCACCTGTTTGATCTGACTGTATTAGACAACCATTAAAGCAAGTGTTATTTGAGAAAATAACATTGTCTACATAGATATCTGTTGAAAATGCAACTTGAAAACAACCGGATCTGAATGTATTTCCTGTTATATTTGATGTAAATAAAAATACCGTAGAGTTGAACCAACTTTCAAATAATGATGAAATTGTATTATCATAAACTTGTAAATCATAAAAAATTGCATTTGATAAGTTATTTAATCTAAATATACCATCGGATTTTTGATTTCTATTTTTATAAAAGCGACATGATCCAAATACAACCAATCCATTATTAAAAGAGTTTACTATTCTATTTGCATTATCTAAAAAATTATTAATAAAAAACAAAATTTTAAAAAAAAATAATAATAATAAAAGAATGTTATACATACAAGTAAACTTTGTAAATAAACAGTATAAAATTGAAGGATGAGCTAAAGAAAATAAAACTGAAGTATGATTGCTAAATACTGATTCTCTAATAAATACAAATGCAGATGGACTTGAAATTGAAATTTGACATGTTGAATTAATAATAGGTGGATTAACACCCAAAAAAACACTTTCTTCCACCATTACAAGTTTTTCCGAGTAAGATTCTATGCTTGAAGCACCAGGAGAAAAGTTTGATGTAAATATACAGAGAGACACTATTACAATACTATCACTACCAATAAAAATAGAAGCACCTGAATAAACAGCCAGATTGTAGTAAAAAAGACAATTCCTAATATATGAAATAGTATTTGGTAATATTTGAATAGATGTTCCTGCTAAACCTACATTGTTAGTAAACGTGGTTGTATTTATAATTACATATCCACCGTCCACAACAATACCAGAACCCAATGTTGCTCTATTACTGATAAATTCACACATATCTATATAAGTTGTTGATAGTGAGGAAACCACTCCACCTCCTACAAAGCTTGAGGCTATATTTGAACGAATTGTAGAGTTACTGACTATGCAAGTTGAGTAAGCGCAGCAAAATAAACAAGAGCCAATTCCTGCAACATTGTTTTCAAATAAGCTATTGGATATAGTAATATTACTTGAGAATGCAAATAAAGTACCTAGTGAGTCTTTGTTTGAATTGTTTCTAAAGGTGCATAGTAAAACAGTTAAAATTGATAACCGAGCATCCATAATTGTTCCAGTATTAAAATCATTTGTGTCAAAAATTCCAACATATTGATTCTCTTTGCTGTATGTATCTCCAAATGTTAAACCAATTATATGAACATGTGTATTATTAAAGAAAAATATTCTTTTATTTTCTTCAGTTGTAACCGGCATTGTAATGGTTGTTGAATTACTTCCAAACAAACCAACAAATTGAACTTTGGTCCATCCTTTGATACTTATTGTTGTTTTGATATAGTGAGTGCCTGGAAAAAAGAAAATGATAATATCACGTCCCCTTCTGAATGGGTAGGCTTTGGACAATACATAATTGACATCACTACATGGAGCTAAATAATCTGTTCCACAATCTTCGTTATCTGTTCCATTTACTGAAATAAAATAAAATCTGATTCCTGTTGATCTTTCTTCTATTTCTGTGAATACTTGTTTCATTTTTTCAACTTGATCTTCTATTCTATTATTTTGATTAAAAAGTTCTTGAAAGAAAACTTCATTTAAAAGAAAATTTATGCTTAATTCTATTGAGCTTCTGAAATAATTGTTCTGTTGAAATATAATATCATATAGTGATTGAAATGAAGCTAGACCGAAATTATTAACAGGGTTAACAATTTCACTGGATTCAAATAATTGGGGACTATCTGTTGCATAAGGAGTTGGAGTAAAACCTAATATACCGCTATAGCCGGAGAATACATTATCGGTAATGAGTTGTCTATCGTCAATTCCTAATGCTCTACTCTTAACATTTGTAGGATTATGCGGATTTATAAAATCTCTTGGAGCAAATGGTAAAAACCTTATTTGTGTATCATAGCTATTTGTTAATGTGTTTATTAAACTTCTTAAAGATGGCCCATTAGTACTTGTTAATATTTCTTTATTACTATTATTAATATTATTATCATTTTTATTATTTATTTTTTTTATATATTTTTGTAGTTTTTTTATAAATATTTCACCATTATAATAAATTTCTTCTTTATTTTTATTTTTATATTTTTCCATTAATTCTTTAAATTCTTTTTCAGCTTTTTTATTTTCGATTTCATTATTTTCGATATTGATTTTGTAATTTTTTTTTTTTTCTTTTTTATTATTAAAATTATTATTATTATGAAAATCTTGAAAAAATTTTTTATTTTTAAAATTATTTATATTATCCTTTAAATATTCGTTAATTTCTTTTTCATTATATATATTACTATTAAAATTATTTTTATTATTATAATTATTATAATTATTATAATTATTATTATTATTATTATTATTATTATTATTATTATTATTATTATTATTATTATTATTATTATTATTATTAAAATTTTTTTTGTTATTTTTTTCTTTAATATTATTATAATTTTTAAAATTATTATTTAATGTGTTTGTTGTACAAATTAATATTAACAAATAAAATAATATTATAAAAAAATAAAATTGTTTAAATACCATGATTAAAATTATTTATTAATATTTATATTTATTTTTAGATTATTTAAAATTATTTATATTTTTTTTTTATATATATGATTTTCATCATCTTTTTTTTTTATTTTTATTTTGTTGATGATTTTTTTTAATTGTAAAATAATAATCATTACATAGGTTTTATTTAATATAGTGGGTGAATAAATAATAAATAATAAAAAATTTGAAAAATAATTTAATATAAAAAAAAAAAAGTTTCAATTAATTTATTTAAAAAAAAAAAAAAAAAAATTAAATAAATGAAAAAAAATTGGATGTGTTTCCATTGATATAATAAAAAAAAATTTAGTGTGTTAACACACTCCCCCACCACACTAAATTTGTATTATTTTTTACTTTTTTTAAATAAATATTATTTTTTATATTCTTTTAATTATTATTTATTTATTTTAAATTAAACTAAATATTATATCCTTCTTCTTAAATTATTTTCTGAAATAATTGGGCTACAATTGGTAGATTTTGATTTCTTATTGTTTGATTTTTTACGATTTTTTTTTTGATTTAATTGATATAGTGTTGGTGTACTTAATTTAAAATTTCCATATTCGGGTATATTTTTATTATCTATTTTATTATTATTGGTATTATTGCTATTAAAAGGTATAACTGTTTCATTATTACCTTCATCAGAATCTTTTTTATTTATTTTTTTATATTTTTTTTTTCTTTTTTTAAATTCTTTTTTTAGTTGATTAATATTTTCAAAATTATTTTCTTGATCATTTTCTTCGTCTGATGAAAAAGTTTCGTGAATATTAAATATTGGATTATCTGTTTGATTTCTATCTATTAAATACATTTTATAAAATATTAGTAGATCTTTATTTCTTTCTATTTCTCTTTCCTGAGTTTCTATAACTTTTTTTAATGATGAAACAATCTTTTTTTTTCTAAATAAAAAATTAAGTTTTGGTAAAAAAATTAAAAATAATGTCACTGCCACAATTATTATACTTCCAATGGAAACTACAAGAAAACTAGTTGTTGGATTTGATTTTAAAACATAAAATAATGGTAATATTACAACAAAGATTAATGTATAGTTGTAAATTAAAAGAGAGTTAAAAAGGGATTCGTAAAATGTACCTGGTGTTGAGTGATATCGAATTGATTTGATTGATATAATACATGAAATTATTAATATGATTAGGTCGTATACTGCAATTACAATTGAAAATATATACCATTTATTGGAGTGACACATATATGTTGCAGTTTTGTAGTTTAAGTCGAAAAAGTATTTGGGTTTAACTGGAAATGCTATTAAACCGATAATAATTAAAATTATAATTGGTCCCATTATGATTGATCCATATTTTATCATTTCTAAATTATCTGTATTTATTTTTAAAAAATCGCTATATTTGAAAAGTTTAAAAATTCTGTATTGCTTTAGAAGAGCCATTGTAAAGAGCATTCCTAATCCCAGTGGTAGTAATAATGTTGAAAGAATACAAGTTATGTTTGATACCTTTATGGATATAAATATCATTATGCATAGTACTAGACATCCTATGATAATTACAATTAGAAATATAATATTGCCAACATTTATAACCTTTTCATTAATGTATATAATTGTAATTGCTAAGCAGGTGAATGAAAACAATACCAGAATGCCAGTTATTAAACAAATTACAATTTTTGAAATTTTTGATATATCCTTAACCAATAGACATTCATAAACTTGACCTGTAGTAGTACTACTAACATCAAATATTTGTGTATTACATGTACATTCCTGTATGTTTATACTTTTATTTATTGGACCATAATTCCCTTCCATTGGTAAAGAGTTGTAGGTTAAATTACATTTTGTACCGGGCACTTGATTAACTTTTAAATTATAGAGTGTTGTAATACCATTTGTTTGAATTATACTACCCTTTATTCCTTCTAAACTGATATTTGAATTTAAACATTGTGGAGTAACAGTAAATATTATATCATTTCTACCTTTTATCAAGTTACCAAAATGGTCATATGCATAAATTATTGATGGAAATTCTCTATTCGATTGAACACTTGAAACCTGAAGCACAAAGAACGAAAAGTAGTTTGAATTAATGTTTTCACCATATCCTGCATAGTTTCTTTCGAGTAAACAATTGGTACATGTATAATTTATTTTAACATCACTTGAGTAATATACTATTGAACCGGCGGCTAAAGCTTTATTGTTTTGAAATGTGTCATTTATAAATTCACCACTAAAATCAGAGCTCCATAAGATTGGTGTTGTTGAAAAATAAAATATTGCACCATTAACTCCAGTGTTGTTTATATAGTAGTTGTTTTTTGATTTTAAAACACCCCACTGGTCAGTGTAAACCACACAACCCCTTACATGACCTACATTACCCTTGAACATAGAATTATGAATTTCAAGTGTGTATCCCTTGAGTGCTATAACAATTTCTTCCTTCATTGTATTGTTTAAAAACCAACATTCTATTAAAAATATTGATGAATTGTATGTACTAAATATTATAGATGAACCAGAGTTATATAAGAAACTATTTCTTGAAACTATGGATATGGCTCCATTTCTTAACACAATTAAGTAGTCTTTGAAAATATTATTTGAAAAAGTGCACGAGGTTGCAAATAAAAATCCTTGAGAATGAATATTCACAATTTTACCATTTATTTCACTAAAAGTTACGTTATATAAGGAAATGATTGCGTTTGAATTGCACCATATTGTTGTACCAGTTAATTTTCTAACAATTGAGTCTTTGATTTGTAAAAAATTAAAATTTGATATTGAAAAAATGGACTGTATAATACCAGGTACTTTGTAATCTTCTGAAAAAGAAATGTGACTATTAATAAATATTGCAGGTCCTGTTCCATGGTTTTCGACTATTGCTGCCGATGGTGAATAGTTGTTTTGAATTATCGATGTAGTTACATATAGTGACGAAGAGTCTAGCATTGAAAAAACCCCTCCATACAAGAGTGCCCTATTATTGATAAATTTACAACTCGAATATAGTGCGTTTGATGTATCTAAATTTGAAACCCCAGAAAGATTTGCACTATTATAAAAATAGTTGGTTTTGAAAGCTGTATATGTTGATGAATTGAAAATTAAACTAACCCCCCCATTTGAAGCTATATTGTAATAGTATGAGGATTCATAATCATAAAGAACACTATTTGTTTGTATTATTGAACCACCATTTGTTCCTCGATTATTGTGAAAAGTATTTCTATAAAATTTGGACACACTTAACGGACCTATTGCAATTGCTCCCCCATTACCTCCTTTTGTTTTTTTATGAACAGCCACATTAAAACTAAAAATACAATGGTCTACAGTTAAATTTGATGCTACTGTAAAAATAGCGCCTCCATTTCTTGCTCGATTATAACTAAAAGTACAATTTGAAAATAAAATATTACTAAAAATACCTTGAAAAGCTCCTCCAGAACCAGTAAAATATATCTTTGTTAAATATTCACTATAGGTTTGATCTGGTATAATACCTTTTGGAATGAAAGGTGGAGATAAATTCCTTGTTATATAAATTTTTTTAAATGATATTCCTACTACATTTACGGTTGAATTTATTAATAAAAACCCTCTAATACTAGGTTTTGTTGTTATTATAGTTTTGTCTCTATTACCGATACCAATTAGATTGAACCCATTTTTATAGTTGGTAATATTTGCTGTTTTACTATGGTTATACAACCCTGGAAAGAAATAAATACTGATATTATAATCTTTTACCAATAAATTATTTTCCAATAAATAAATTAAATCTGAACATGGATTTCCAAAACTACCACAATTAATTTCATTTTTTCCATTATTTGAAATAAAATAATTTACTTTTATAAAATTTAATAAAAATATTAATAATTTTTTTTTTTTTTTAAAAATATTTTTAAAAAAAAAAATAATTACATGATGATGGTGATGACGGTAATGATTGAGAGATTGAAAATGAAAAATAATTAAATAATAATAATATAATAAATAAAATTTTTATTAATTTAAAAAAGTAGTCATTTAAAATTAACATACTTTTTTAAATCTAAACTTTATTTTTTTCTTTTTTTATTATTATAAAACATTTATAAATATATTATTTTTTAATGCAATATTTATATTTTGTTGTTGAATTTTATTATTTATATTTATTATTAAATATTTTTTTAATTTTATGTTAATTTTATAATTCATCTATTATTTATTTATGCCTTTTTTATTGGTTATTTATCGAAACAATATTGTTAGTTTTTATAATTAATATTAAACCATTAATAGTATTTTAAAATCTACTTGTGCTGTTATGTTTGTTTTATATGATTATTTAAATAAAAAAAATAAAAAATGTAAGTGCCAATAACCACAGAAAAAAATTTAAAAAAAATGAAAAAAAAAAAAAATTTATTTGAAAAAAAAAAAAAAAATCAAAGTAATGAGAGTGGTGGAGGGGTAAATGTTTTTGAAGCATTTTTATTGAATGGTGTGAAAAGGATGTGTGTTCAAATTTTACTTTTTATTAAAAAGGAAATAAAATAAGATTAAAATACAAATATTTATAATTACAATTAATAAATATTTTAATTTTTAAATTAGTAAAAATAATAGTTAAAGCTTTACCATTTAAATTAATTAAGAAAAAAATTTCAAAAAAATAATTTTTTGGTTTTCATGAATTTAAATCTTTAATAAAAATAGCTCACATGTAATTTTATCAATTTTTTATTTAAAAAAAATAAATAAAACCTTTAAAGAAAATGAAAATAATAATAGAAACTCCTTAATATTAAAAAAATGAATTCATATTTTTTTTAAATTATATGAATAAATCATAAAAAAACAAAATAATGTTATTTTAAAATAGTATTCAAATTTAGAAACCGAAATTAATAAACATTTTAATTATAAAAATTTAAATTAATAAAAAAATAAAAAAAAAAAAAAAAAAAAAAAAAAAGTTAATTTAAAAAAATAATTAAAATATTATAAGATTTGTTTTAATTGGCCCAATTTGACTTTTTTATTTTTAGTCTCATTGTCCAATAATTATTTCAATTTAAAACAAATAATAAATCAAAAACTACAAATAATATATAAACTTATTTTTAATTAATCAAACTTCATGTTAATAACCTATTTTAACTATCAAAAAACAAAGGGTTTTATTTTGAATCACTATTATTAATATCGTCATAAACTAACAATTGTTATACTATATTCAAAATTTTTTTTTTTTTTTATTTTTATTTTTTTTTTTATAATATTTCTAACTTTTTCAAGGTATAATAGATACTTAAGAGTTCTTTATTATATAAGAAACTATTAACATTAGTTTTCATCAAAGATCGAAAATATTATTGTAAAAGTATTTTGTATCATTACACATTTTATTCATTTTTGCACTTTTTTTTTTTTTTTTTTTCAAAAAAAAAATAATTTAAATAAAAAAAAAAAATTTCTATTGTAAATAAATATAAAACTATAAAAAAGAATAAATATAAATAATAATAATTTTAATAATAAAAACCATAATTATTATAGTAAAAAAATAATAATTCAAATGTTAGAAAAAAATAATATAAATAATATAAATGACAACAACTATGAAGTATTAATTGTAGGTTGGGGTCCAAACGGGTCTTTAATGGCAAATCTATTAGGTCAAAAAGGAATTAAAACATTAATTGTTGAATCTTCAAAAACATTTACCCAAGTCCCAAAAGCTGCTCATTTAGATGATGAAGGTTTAAGAATTTTAAAAAAAGTTGGTTTAGACAATGAAATTCTAAAACAATCATATGTAAATATAATGTTATATATGTAAAAAATAAAAAAATATTTTTTTTTTTTTAACATTGATATATAAATTAAAAATATATATTTTTAAAATATTAATTTTTTTTTTTTAAAATTTGAGGAACTAAATGTAAAATTCAATCAGTCTTTTGCAAACAATAGCTTTACTACAATCCATCCCGATACAACAGAATTAAATTTCCCAAGATCAATTTTTTGGTATCAACCCCATTTTGAAAAATCAATTAGAGATGGTTTTCAAAGATTTAATTCAGTAGAAATTCTAACTTATCATAAAGTAATATCAATTGAAAAAGAAAATATCAATAATATACCAACTATAAATGAATCATCATCCTTTTCATCATCTTTATCATCATCATTCTCATCCTCCTCATCCTCTTCATCCTCTTCATTTTCAACATCTTCTTCATGCTCATCTTCCCCACCATTAATATCATCTTCCTCATTAAACAATAACCCAATAAATTCAATTAAAATTTTAAATTTAGAAACAAATGAAATTAAAAATATTAAATGTAAATTTATTATCGGTGCAGATGGTGGTAATAGCTCAATTAGAAAGATGATGAAAAGCAAACTAGAAGGTACCAGTGGTAAAATGAGATGGTTAGTAGTAGATGCCAAAATTAACAAAGATCACCCACCTCTCCCAAGCTATTTTCAATTCGTTTGTAACCCATCAAGACCATGCCTATCATTACCAATACCTCCAGATCATTTCCGTTGGGAATTTGTCTTATTTGATCACGAAGATTCAAAAGAAATGGAGTCTTTAGAAACCATTAACTCATTATTAATTCAACACATGGCCGATTTATCAAAACTAGAAATTGTTAGAAAAAGTGTTTATACTTTTCAAAATAGAATTGCAAACCATTGGTATGACGGTGATTCGACTCTTTTAATTGGTGATGCATGTCATATGATTCCTCCATTCTTGGGCCTAGGTGTTTCAAGTGGATTCAGAGATTGTCAAAACTTAGCATGGAAATTAGATTTAATCCTTAGAGGTATTGTAGGATCACCAAAAGAATTACTCTATACTTTTCAAACTGAAAGGCAACCAAATATAGAAATCATTACCGAAAAAGCAAACCAAGCTGGTCAAATTATAATGCAAACAAACAAATACAAAGCATTCTTTAGAAATTTACTTTTAAAATCCCTCTTGTCTGTTCCTCCAATTGAAAAACTATTTCAGAATAAAGCTGGTATGAAACCACCAAACATTATAAAACAGGGTGTTATCAATTATAAAATCTTAAATAATGAAGGTCATTTTGATGAATTAACCAATCATTTTCAAAAAATCATAGGTACTCAAATTACTCAACCATATGTAAAACTACTAAACAAAACACAAAATAATATCGATGAAGCAGAAATATCAAATAGTTCACAGAAAAAACTTTTAGATGAATTTTTAGGAATTAATTTTTCAATTTTATTTTTAAATTTTGAACAACAAAAACATGAAAAGCTAATAAACAATTTAATAAACAACAAATTATTAAGTGAAGAACTAATGTTTAATTTTATAAATGTTATTGGTCATAATCAACATTCAAATCAATTCTTTAATCAGCAAAGTGAATCATTCATACAAATTAAAGATAACTCAACAGAATCAATTTTTAAATTCCTATTTAACAAATTAAGTAATAATCAACTGCCCCCAACAATAATAATTATTAGACCAGATAAACATATATTTAGTATTTATAACAATGACAATTTAAAATATTCAACAATTATATCAACATTAAAAAATTCATTATATATTAATTAAATTTATTTTAAATATAAAATTAATATAAATAATAATAATAATAATAATAATAATTATACTGAAAAATAATGGTATAAGTAAAATAAAAAAAAAATAAAAAAAAAAGATAATCAATATTATTTTTGGGTATGATATTAATTTCTTTTTTAAATTAATATTCATTCAATTTCATTTTTAAAAAAATGCTGTTAACAATACCAATTAATAAATAATCAAATAATTTACAAATTTTTTTTTATTTTTATTTTTTTTTATTATTTTATTTTATTTTTATTTTTTTGATATGGACTTATTTTATATATTAATACCACACCCCATAATTTTTGCTCAGGATAGAATGGGTGTGTTTAGTAAAGATATAATAAAAAATTTTATTCGTTAAATTTTTAAAAAGAGTATATAATGTGTGTGTGTGTATGTTTTATCTAATTTGGTGTGTATCTTTATTTAGAAAAAAAAAAAAAAAAAAAAAAGTGTGTTTTGTTGTCTGTGTATTTTGTGTTTTTGTGTAAAAATTCAATTTTGATGAAAAAAAAAAAAAAAAAGGAAAAAGAATAAAAAAAATAAAATGAAAAAGAAAATATTATTTAATATTTAAAATATATAATATAATCTTTTTATATATTCAAAATAAAATATCTTTGTTGTAATTTATTTTATTTTTCAATTTTATATATTACATATAAAATTTTTTTTTTTTTTTTTTTTTTTTTAATTTTTTGATTTTTTAATTTTTTAATTTTTTTTTTAATTTATTTTTTTATTTTATTATAATTTAAATAACCAATATTAGTTTTTAAAAAATAATTTTATTTTAAATAAATTTAGTTTTATATTCGGTTAACCGAAGCAACTCTCCAATAGTTTTAATATAAATATCAAATAGTTTTTTTTTTCCCAAGAGTTTAGGTAGTTTAGTAATTAGGAAAAACAAATAGAAATAAGAAAAAAGATATTAGGTATAAATAGCAATAATTTAAATAAACAAATATATAACAAGTAATACAACAATAATAACAATAATAATAATAAGAAATAATGGACTCTGCGATTAGCAACTCCATCAAGACAGTCCTCAATTTAGGGTTTAAAATTGTAAATATCTATTTTTTAGTTTTTTAATAAAAATATTATTTTTATTTTTCAATTCCAATTTTTTTTTTTTTTTTTTTTAAAAAACTAACAATATTATAATTTTATAATTATTATTATAGGTATCATTTTGGTTTAAACTATGGTTACTACCAATTAATTCAATATTTGAATGGATACAAGAAAGAGTTAAACCCATAGTAGTTCCCCTTTTCACATTTTTACATACACATAAAACCAAACTATTAAAATATTCATTGCTTTCGATATTTTATTTGGGCTTTTTATTATTTGTAACTTTAATATCATACTATGCACTATATTCTACATTAGTACCAAAGGTTTCAACTGAAGAGCCATTATTTTTTGACTATAGGTATGTTCTATAAATATTATTTAATTTAAATTTGTTATGATTTAAACATATTAATTATAATTTTTTTTTTTTCAATAAAAATAGTTATAAATCAACTAAAAAAATTGTTGCAGATGTTCAAGCCTCAGTTGAGTTTCAAAAGAATAAACACTATAGTATTTTCTTAGAGTTAGAATTACCAGAATCACCAAAGAACCAAGATGTTGGGATGTTCATGGCTTGCATGGAAATTGATGACCATGATAAGTGGAATCCACAGAAAATTCATCATACTTGCAGACCTGCCATACTAAAATATTCCTCAGGTATCTTAAAATATATCAAATCATTTTTGATGTCCATTCCATATCTTTTTGGTTTCTATGAGGAAAAACAAACTGTAGTCTTATCAATGGGTGATAATTTTATTGCAAATAGAGTAATTATTTAAATTATAATAATAATAATAATAATAATTAATATTAATACTTTATTTCCTTTTATAATAGTATTACCAAACCATTTCAGCTCAAATTCAAATTAATAATCCAGAAATTCAAATTTATAAAGCATCATTAAAATTCTTAGCAAATTTAAAAGGTTTTGATTATTATTTGTATTATTATCCAATTACCTCGTTTATAGTTGGTTGCTCAATAATATATATTTCACTATTGTCCTCATCCATATTTTTCGTTGCATCACTATACCTATATAGACATTTCAACCAAAAAGAGCAAGAAGGAATTAAACCAATTGAGGACTCATCCGATGAAGAAATCGAACTTCATAATAGTTTGGTTGGTGAAGATTTAAATGATTTCAGTTCCTCTAGTTCATCAGCTGCTATTCCATCATCATCTGCAGATGCGGTATCATCCTCAAATATTCAAAGAAGAAATGCCGCAAACTATAAAAGAAAACCAATTTGGGAAATCGAAGATGATAATCCTATGTTTAATAAAGACAATAATAATAAAGACAATAACATAGGCAATAATATAAGCAGCACCAAACCAAACAATGAGGACTCATTAGGAATTTTTGCATCACCAAAAATGTCAAAAGATTCTAAATCTGTAGAAGACTCAAAGTTTTATAGAGAATTGGACGAGGCTTTTAATAATAAATTGAATAATCAAAAGAATTTTAATAATACTATAAACAACAATAACTATTCATGGGATCAAGAGCTAAAAGATATTGATTCATTGTTAGATGAAAAACAAAAACAACAAGAACAAAAATATAAACAAAAAAACAAAGATAAACCATCTACTACACCTTCATCTCCTTCATTAAAAAATAAACAACAACAACAACAAAAAAAAAATCAAGAATTTGATAGCAAAAATAATAACGAAGATATCCAAGCTCATTCACTTTTAATTTTATCAACCTCTGAAAATACAACACCAATACAACATTCATCAAACAAAGAGGAAGAAAAAGCACCAAACATTTCAATAGAGCAAACTATAACTAATAACATTAGCAATAATAACAATGATGATGATAATGATAAAAAGAATATTGAAAATGAAACAACAAATAATATTACTATCAATGATGACTCTCCTGTTAATATCTCTAGTCCATCAGATTCAGACAAAGAATGCGAAGAACACAAAGATGAAGAAACCAAAGAATCTGCTGAACAAGATGAAGAAGGTGAAGAAAGTGAAAAACCACCTGGAAACTCTGGATTTAGTGGTAATGATGAATGGGTTAAAGTCTTGGACTCCTCAATAAGAAAAAGAAAGAACTAGATGGAATAATAATATATTATTTTTCTTTCTATTGTTTTAATATATTAGTGATACATTAGCATAGATACATATATATTTATATATTGTCTTTTTATTTTTTTGTAAATTATTCTCAATAAATATAAATATTTTTAAAAGAAAAAAAAAAAGTTTTCAATTTGTGATACACACAAATAAATTACATTTCTTGGGACATCATGTGTGATCACGCATGAATCATAACTTTGAAAAATTTTTCAAAAGTTATACACAGTTCAAAAATTTGATCATAACTTGAATTCCAATAGAAACTTCAAGTAATGAAGGCAAGAGAGTAACCTGATTGTGGTAATGGTGATATAATTGTCACTAAATATATTTTAATAATTACTAAAGCTTTAACCTTTTTCCAAAACTAATCATTGAATCATTTTTCTTTTAGTTATGATCCAGACGAATAAAGATTTAAAATTTATAAAAATTGATAAAACAACAATAATAATAATAATAATAAAGATATTAATTATAAAATTTTTTTTAATTTTATATTTAATCCGAAACAATTAATCTTTCATTAACTTTCCAAATGAAAACATTTTAATTTTAAATTAATAATAATAATAATAAATAAAAATAGGTTTCTTTTTTGCAATTTATTTTTTTTATTTTTTTTTAATTTAAAATTTTTTTTTTTTTTTATTTTTAATTTTTTTTTTTATGTTTTTTTTTAATTTTTTATATTGTGTTAATTTGTATATAATTTATTTATCATTTCATTATTACTAAATAATTATTTTATAAATCTGTTTATTATTTATTTATTTATTTATTTATTTATTTATTTATTTTTTTATTTATTTTTATTTTTCATTTTCTTTATTAAATTTATTTTTAATTTTCCATTTTTTTTTTTTTTTTTAATTTTTTTTATTTTTTTTTTTTTATTATTTCTATTTTGTATTTTGTGTTATGAATAATAATAAATATTTGTAAAATGTCGAAAAATATTATTAATAATATACCACATGTATTATTAGAAAATATTTTAAGATTAAGTTTAAATTTCAGTAATAATAATAATTATAGTTATAATAATAATAACAATAACAATAATAACATAGATAATATAGATTATAATATTGACAATTTAGAAAATAAAGAGATTAATGACATTCATAACAACGATAGTGATAATGATGAAAATAATGATCAACAATACATATTAAATAAACAAATGAAAGAAAATGAAAGAATGGAATATATTTTCAAAAACTATTATAATATTTCAAATGTATGTCATCTATGGAAACATATTTCAAAATCAAACCTATTAATTTTAGAATTAAATCCATATATACTCTATAAATTAAAAAATCAAGGCTTCAACTTTATAAATAATATCGAAAACAACACAAACAACAATAATATTAATAATAAAAGCAATTTAAATAATCAATATGAGTTTCCTGTGAATAATTCCGAAAACTTTATCAAAGACTTTAGTATTCACGAATTCTTTAATATTTTAAAAAGATATAAATCTGTAGAAAATGTATATTTATCAAATTTTAATTTTATTTCAACAACCAATTTTAGTTCATTAAATAAATTTCCAAACCAACCACAGTTTAATTTCCTTAGAAAACAAAACTCAACACCAACAACCTCGTCTATTGCATCTATTGCAAGTACACCAATTACTTTATCATCTTCAAATCTACCATCTACATCATCAAATATTGGTTCTAAATCATTAGAAGCTATTTCAATTGCATCCACAGCACAACCAAACACGACATTCAACGGTATTAATAATAGATATTTATCAAACTCATCACTAATTGCAAGTAGATTATCAACTAAAGCCGCCCTTCTTTTAAGTAGAAATGATGATGACTATTCCAAAACTTTGACAGATTTAAAGAACTTTTATTCTTCATCAGCAGCTTTTTCATCTTTTTCATCTTTTTCATCTTTATCATCATTATCCAATTTTATACCCTCTTCTTCAACAAATAATAATAATAATAATAATAATTATGATAATAATAATAATTATAATAATGAAAAAGATAATTTAGATTTAACAGATTATAATGAAGAGAAATCAGAATTAAATACAACAAACACATTAAAATCAGGGTTTTTTTCATCAACATCAGCATTAGATAAATATAGACTAAATCAAATTCTTTATGAAAATACAATTAATAATATAACAAAATTAGAAATTAATCGTTGTTTAAATTTTAAATCCATTGAGTTTGTTAATTATTTTTTGAATTCAAAATATTTGCAACATTTAAGTATCAACGACTGCAATTTGAAGGATTGGGACTGCTCTGTAATATTTTTCACGATTAAAAGCTCCGAGTCTTTAACATCAATCGATCTATCTAGAAACCGTATACAAGAAGAAGCCGCCAAAACTATTTCAATGGTTTTAAAAGAAAACAAAACATTAAAACATCTTAGATTAGATCACAATAGAATTGGAAGTTCTGGTTTAACTTTTATATCCAATGCTCTACAAGAAAACTCCTCAACTACACTTCAAACATTTAGTGCTAAAAAGAATTCAATATATTTAGACGGTGCTCTCTCTTTACTCCAAACTCTTCATACCAATAGAACTCTAATATCAATCGACCTATCAAATAATAATTTCTCAAGTTCAGAACTTTTAAAAGCTTATTGTATGATTTATTTACAAAATCAAAATTTAGTTTTATCTCCGAATGTCCAATTAAAAGTTAATAATACAATATTTAATAAAAATGAAAATGATGACGATGATGATTTCATAAACAATAATAATAATAAAAAATTTAAAAATAATAATTATAATAATAATAATAATAATAATATAGTTAATGGAAACTATTACGAAACTACAGAATCAACCAGGACAACGATTATTAATAGTTACAATACCAATTTTAATAATAATAATTATAATATTAATATCAATAACAATAATAATATTAATAATAATAATAATAATAATATTGATAATTTAAATTTAAATGGAAATACATATAGGAAAAGAAATTTCGAAAAATTTAATATCGATTATTAATAAAACTTAAAAAATAAATTAAAATTTAATTTATTTATTATTTATTTTTATAAAATTACAAAAAACTTTTATTTTTTTTATTTTTTTAAAATTAAATAAATTTATATATTTTTATAAATCATTATATTCTTGTGGTGAACTTTCTTCTTTTGGTGAATCAAAACTACCACCTATATTAATATCATTTGAAATATTTCTTAAGGAATATTTTGAAGGATCACCAAGACGACCAAGACGATCACTTACTAGCGAAATAAATGGACCGATTAAAGTAGGTAAATATTCTAACTCTGGTTTCTTTAATTTCTTTTTCTTTTTGGTAATATCTTCACCCTCAACACTTTCTTTATCACTAATTTCTTTTTCCTCCTCTTCCTCTTCAGAATCAGAATCAGAATCGTCCAATGATAAGTTTTTAAGATCCTTTTCTATATTCTTCTTTGTAGCTTCTTTATTACCAACTTCCATTCTCCATTCACGGTAGTTAATGACTGAATCCAATTCTGCAATAATAAGTTTCTTGAGATTTGGTGAAAGTGGATCGAAAATTTGAGAGGTAACATCGACTTCCTCATCCTTTAAAAATTGCAATAAACCAAGTAACCAACAAACTGATAATGAGAGCAAACCTGTTTTAGTTTCTTCAGTAGAACCACCTTCATTTGTTGATGTAGATTCATATTCTATTTTATCATCAGCAACTACCAATTCATGGAGCAATTCATAAACTCTTTCCATTAAAGTTGTATTAACCTCTTCAAATAAAATTAATCTTTCAGCCATTGTAATATCTTGTTTCTTATCTTTTTTGAATTTCTTTTTAATTGTCTTTTTCTTTTCTTGATAGCTTTCTGGTGTTGTACCTAAAAATTCATTAATATCATTGGTGAATTTTGATAACAATGATTCTCTATTTGGTGATTCTGTTGGTGGTGAATCAATTGAAAACTCACTACTATTATTTTCTTGCAAGTTTTCTTTAGATGATTTTGATTTAAACCAACTTAGTGATTTTGAAATCAAACCTATTTTTTTTGGTTCCTCTTGTTGTGGTGGAGTTGCAGAGGCAGTGGTGTTGGTGGATGATGTATTTGTTGTTGTCGTTGTTGTTGTTGTGCTGGAACTACCATTAATTGGTTGGGTTGCTAATTTCTCTGAGGCTGATGCAACTTCAATTTCATCACTATCCTCTTCATCTAAATCTACAGTGTCAACCTCTTGATCATCTACTAAATTACCAGTTTCTGCGGCAACAATTAATTTTTTGATCACACGAGCTAACCTATCAAAATGATTACCAATATTTGCTTTACAGAATAATTTACCCAATGGTTCATATAAAACTGGTAGCAAGTCACGGATAATTTCAATCATTTCATCATGGCCTAAAATTTCAACAAAATCTTCTTTTTCTTTCTTTCTCTTTTCTAACTTTGCATATTCAAATAGTGATTTAAATTGTTCTTCATTTAACATTGAAATAATACTTGAATCGACTGGTGGACTACCTGGCCATTGATATTGAAGAATTGAAATTGCACTTGGCATCTCTTTATAAACATCTAAAGGTTTGCCTGTTGAATCTTGTAATTGATGGGTATTATATGCAAAACCTTTAACCTTTTGAATAACTTGCTTACGAATGGATGATTTGATGCCCACTAAATCTTCTTCAGCCTTCTTTAATGCCTTCTTTGAAATTCTTTCGGTTTTACCAGCCTCGACCATAACTGAACAAAGAGTTTGGATAAGATTTCTTGAACCAAATGGCTTTGCTAAAAACAATAGAATCATACCTTTTAAAAGTGTTACCGGGTTTGCAATTGAAAATGAAGCTTTGATGGCGGTAATTGGAGTAATCATATAGAGACGCTTAAGCTTTTGTACTTGTTTTGGATCCCTCATCTCTCTTTCCATCCACAATGATAAAATTTTGATAAGGATTTGTACAAATTCATTAAGATCTGGAGGTAAGTCATGAACAGATTTGGTGTGTAAAATTGTATTAAACAAATAACCAATACCATTTGTTGAAGAACCACCCTCTTGATTTTTTTGCTCGATGTTCATTACAATTATTTGAGTTACCTCTGTGAGACGCTTCTGTAAACGTAAAATAGTTTCATTTCTTTCGACATCAAATACATTATTCTTTCTTTTCTCCTCCTCCTTTTCATCCTCTTTATCCTCAAGTGTTTCCTGATCCTTTAGTTTCTTTGCCTTGTCTGGTTTATACTTTTCTAAACGTTCAATTTCCTCTTGATTAAAATCTTTGAATACTTTTAAAGTTTTATCTTTCTTTTTCTCTTTTGGTGTTCTAAGCGCAATATCAAAACATTTTACTACAAATTTTCTAAACTGGTCATTAGTTTCTTTTTTGGTTGCAATTTGACTTTGAATGATAATATGTGGTAATTTATCAATTAATTGTTGAAATCTAACCTTAGCTTGTTGTTTACTTGTTAATAATGGTATAGTAGTTAATTGTGTAAATAAAAATTTTAAAAATAAAGTTATTTGTAAATTGTGTGAATCTTGAAAATAAATTTTAACCTCCTCTTGAATTGAATATTTTAATAACTGTTGTTTTAAATATGACTCTTGATCATAAGTTAATTGAATTTTTTCATCAATATTAATTTCAATATTTGTTTTATTATCATTATTGGTAATATTAATATCATTACTATTATTTGTATTGTTATTATTGTTGCTATTATTATTGGTATTATCTATACTTTCAATATTATTATTTTCCATAGTACTGATACCATTGTTATTATTGTTATTATCTTCTTCCATTTTTTATATAGAAAAAGTTTAATTTTTAAAAAAAAAAAGAAAAAATTTTAAATAAAAATTATATATTAAAAGTAAAAACAAATAAATAAATATAATAATATAATAATATAATAAATAAATAAATAAATAAATAAATAAATAAATAAATAAATAAATAAATAAATAAAATGTGATATATAAATTATTTAAAAATTTTAAAATTTTTAAAGATAATTATATTATGAATGAAAAAAAAAATAATAAATTATTATTTATCTTGTGTGTAATGTTATTATTTTTTTATTAATAAATTTATTTTTATATTTTAAAATTTTAATTTTTTTTTTTTTTTTTTTAATTATTTTAAAAAAAAATTAAACGAAAAAAATAAAAAAAAAAAAAAAAAATTTTTAAATTGTGGTTTTTCAGGCATTTCATATAACTGATTTTGATTTTCTGACAAATGCACATGGTTTGCCCCCAGCTATTGAAAACAAATAATATGTTACATTCGAATAAAAAAAAAAAAAAAAAAAAAAAAAAAAGATTAAAAGATATATATTGTATTAATTATATTTGAGGAAATGTAGTTTAAAGAAAAATAAAATAAAATTTAGATTGTTTTTGTTTATACAAATAAATATGAAAAGTAATTTTTATTTTTTTTTATTTTAAAACTTATAAATATATAAAAAAGTAAAAAAATAATTAGCTTCCTCCTGAACTTATAACATTTACCAACCTAAATTAAAAAAAAAAAATTAATATTTTATAAACTTTAAAATATCTAAAAAAAAAAAATCTAGTATTGCACCATTTATTATTTAATAATAATAATAATAGTAATATAAGATAATTTGAAAACTAATAGTTTTTATTACATACCAATCTAAACCTTCATAAATTCCAACACCATTAATTGCACTAGTTTTACAAATTGCCCATTGTCTATTTTTTAATGATGATAGTTTTAAACCTTCGCTAACTTGGGCATCAGTTAGAGCACCTGGTAAATCCTGTTTGTTTGCGAAAACTAATAATGGGGTTGTACGTAATTCTTCCTCTGAAAGCATTGCCACTAATTCTTCATTTGCAATACCTAATCTATCAGGGTCTGATGAATCTACTACATAAATAATTGCATTTGTATTTGGATAATAACATCTCCAATAGGGACGTATCGCACTTTGCCCACCCAAATCCCATAGGAAAAATCGTATATTTTTATATGTTATTGATTCAACGTTAAATCCAATAGCTAAATTATAATGTGTTATTATTATAATAATAATAATAATATTAATATTATTTCTGTAATATTTGATGTAAAACCATAACTATCAATTTATTTTTATATATCCAAAACTATTGTTGCTATAATGATTTTTACTTACTAGGTATAGTGGTTAATACTTCACCACATTGAAGTTTATATAAAATTGTAGTTTTACCAGCGCTATCTAAACCTAAAATTAAAATTCTAACATCTTTATTACCAAATAGTTTGAAAAAAACTGAAGAGAATAAATTTCCTGATGTTATGTTATAATAAAAGAATTTTAGATTAATATAAATTTAAAATTAATTTTATTTGAAAAAATTTAAAATTAAAATTAAAAGACTATTTTACCCATTCTATATAGTTTTTATTTATATTTATATTTATTTATAGTAAAATTTTTGATTCTATTATTATTATTATATTTTTTATTAAATTATCAATTTGATTAATGGTATAATCCAAATTTATAATAAATTCGAATAGTTATTTATTTGTTTTATATAATAATCATTAAAAAAAAATTATAAAAAATAAAATTAAAAAAATAAAAAAATTGAAAAAAAATTTTAAAAAAAAAAAAAAAATAAAAATTAATAAAAAATAAAAATTATAAAAAAATAAAAAAATAAAAATTTTTCAGATATTAAATCTTAGATTTGCTCTAGTATTTTTAAACCATTTTATATAAATATACTCAATTATTAGTTTTATTACAAATTTGTCAATTTAAAAAAAAATAAAAAAAAAATAAAAGTGGATAACAAAAATAATTGTGGGTAAAGTTTATTTAGATAAAATTTTATTTTTTGATTGGATATGGATCAGAAGTTGAACCTAAAACATCCACAATATCACCAACATTAATTTCATAGCCATTTTGGTCTTGTTCATGGACAAACAAAACACCAAATAAGAGTTTTTGGTCAAATTCTCTGTAAGCTCTAAGGGTTCTAAGTGGTTCATCGTCATCGAATGGATTTAGAACACCTTTATTTGGATCAACAGTGGTAAGTTTACAACGTGGTGTATATTGAACTTTCTTTAAAAGTAATCCAGAAATACGGACTTGGGTCCATGTATCTTCTTCAAATGGTGTGCAGCTTGATAATAAAACATTTGGTCTAAAGTTGTAAACAGTGACTGGGTCTCTTTGTTGTTCGTTATTTTGCTTACGAGTGGCTACAATATGTTGATTTAAATCATCAATGGACGACTCTGAAACCATCATAACTTGGGATGTATCACAAAGTGCAAATTGATATTGTTCTCTTTGTTCCTCAGTTGCATTGTCAATGATATTATCAACATAGTCCTCTGGGATTCTTCTATGGTATTCTGATCCTGGTGCTACTCTTACTAAATGTAAATCGACACCTAAGAATTTGGTTAACCATTGGTGGGCTTCTTCTCCACAATCTACAACATTGACACTATCTTTCCAAATACCAACTTTTGTTGTTGGTTTGTTTGAAAGGTCTTCATTAACTTTAACCTGTTTTAAATAATGATAATTTAAATTTTAATAATATTTTTATTTCCTTTTTTTTATATTGTTTAATAATTACACGAATTTCTTTTTCACCTTCAGCACTAATTACTAAATACTCCTCACCATCCTCAGCTTTGTATAATGATGGATGAATAAGAGCCATTTTAGGATATTGACGTTGAGTAATGAATCTACCATTATTAATAATCATCCATCTTCTATCCAATTCGAAACCAAGTTTATCAATTTTTGCTGATTTAACTGAAATACCTCTACATGATTTAACTAGAGTTATGAACATCAATAAAATTAATAAATTTTTTAAATTTTTTTTTAATTATTTATCTACATACTTGGATAAATGAAAATTTCTTTAACTCTTATTGGGTGATCTCTTTGTTGTGATGGTGGAGAAATTTGGAAATTATTTGATTTACCTGTGAAATAATTATAAAATGTATATAAATTTGCTGCTAAAATACCTGCACCTACAAAATATTTAATGTTGGCTTGAACCCATTCGAAAAATGCTGACATTTTTATTTATTTTTAATATATATAATGTTGTTATAAAAAAAAAAAAAAAAAAAGAAAAAAAATATAAAAATATATTTTGATATGAAAAAAAAAAAATTAAAAAAAAAAAATTAAATTATTAAATTAAATTAAATATTTTTTTTTCCTTTGTCGCAAAAACCCACCCCTATGTAAAAAAAAAATTATCAAGTCATCAATTCTTTAAATAGACAAGAAAAAAATGGAGAAGATAAAATAGATGAAATTTTAATTCCATAGAACCAAAGAGAATCAGAAAAAAAGCAAAAAAAAAAAACAAAAAATAAAAAAAAAAAACTTTTAAATATCTTTTTTTTTTTTTTTTTTTTATAATTATATCAAACAAATGAATTTGTTTATTATCAATAATAAATTCGTTTTTTAAATCTAAAATAAATTTCTATTTTTTATTTTTTTTAAATAATTTATTTATTTGTTTATTTTTTAAATTATATTATATTATAATTTTATTAATTTGAAATTTCTTTGATTTTGTTTTTTTCTTCATCATCTTCGTCGTCATTTACATAAATATATGGTTGAGATAAAACACAAGATAAAATTAAAGTTAATGGTAAAGAGATTAAAGAAATAATATAAAGACGTTTTGGTGAGGTTTTTACAAAGAATGGTAAAGCTAATGAGGCACTACCTAAAGACATAACAGCTAAAGTAATTGGATGAACATTGAAATTGAATACATAATCGAAAATAAATGGAAGTGGAATACCAAAGAAAGCATGAGCTAATGAAACACGATCAACAAATTGTTTTGGATGAGTTACTGATAACATTTGATAACCTGCCATACGATATTGCTCTCTGAGTACTTGTGAGAGTGCTAAAAAGTGTGGAATTTGCCAAATATAAAGGAAAGAAGCCAATAACATACCAATGGCTTCGAATTGACCAGTTGCAGCTACTGAACCAATTAATGGTGGTATAGCACCGACAACAGCACCAACCCATGTATTTAATGGTGTAACTCTTTTTAAGTCGGTATACCAACAATATAAAAGAATATTGCATGCTGCTAAAGTACCAGGAATAAAGAGTGATGGAGTGATGGCCATTGTTCCAAAACCTAATGTTAAAAGGGCCATTGATCCAAGCCATGCTTTACCTCTATTAATAGAGCCTACAACTAATGGTCTATCTTTGGTACGTGGCATTTTTCTATCATGTTGAACCTCCATCTCTTGATTATGAATATTTGCTGAGCACGATGCAAAAAATGTGCCAACTGTAACCTGTGCTAAATGTATCCAATCGAATGAACCTACTGGACATGCGGCCACATAACCTGCAACTGCTGTTAAAGTAACATAAACTGTAATTGGGAATTTAATTAAAGTCATATATGGACCCCTTATATATTTCATTAATCCTTTTGGTTCTGGTTTTTGTGGAGTCTGGGTCTCTGGTGGTGGGTGATGTGGTGATTCATTATGATTTTCATTTATATTTGTTGTATTGGTTGTGGTAGAGTTTAAAATTGTAGTTGATCCATGATCCACATTATTATTTTGTTGTTGGGTGTTTGTAGAATTAGTAGGTGAGGATGCTATTGGGGAGTGGGTTGAATAAATTCTCTTAAAAACTAGATTATTATTACTATATTGTGTAAATGGGTTATTATCTATGATTTCCTTTAAAATAGTTTTATTATTGGCATTATTTGGATTTAGAAATGATTTTGATCTTAATGATGAATTGGAGCTATTATTGTTTGTAGAAAATTGTTGATATAAATATAGCTTTAAACCATGTGGCTTATTAATATAATTTACATTTCTATTTACAAAACTAATCATTTTCAAAATTTCTTTAATATTTAAAAAAAATTAAAAATATTTTTTAAAAAAAAAAAAAAGAAAAAACACACACAACAAACCCCCCTAATCAAAACTATAATTTATGATGATTATAATCTGATTTTAGGTTTTATGAAAAAGAAAAAAAAAATTTGTAATATGGCAAATGCTTTAAAAAAAATAAAAAAAATAAAAAATAAAAACTAAAAAATAAAAAAAAAATAAAATAAAAAAAAAATAAAATTTATAAAAAAAATAAAATTTTATTTTTTTTTTTTTAGAAATGATAATAATTATGTATAAACAAACAAAAAAAAAAACGTGTGCCAAAATGATTACCCACATTCACAACAAAAAAAAAACATGGGCATTAATTTAAAAATAACAACAACAATAACATCAACACTAAATTTAATTCAATAGCTATATCATCAAAATTAGAACACAACCCCCATTTTTTATTTTTTTATTTTTTAATTTTATGTGTTAATTGCTTCTTTATCTAATTATAAATTATAGTTTTTATTTGTGTGTGTGTATGTGTGTGTGAATGGGTTAGTGTTTTTTTTTTTTTTTTTTTCAAAAAATCAAAAATCAAAAATCAAAAAATCAATCATCTATAGATTCATCTTTTTACTATAATTTTTAAACTATTATTGAAAAAGCCTTGGCTCACATGCTTTTAAAAAAAAACTTAATTACTGTCCCCATAAAAAAAGTTAATAGTTTTTTTAACCTATCTCCCCATTCAAATTGAACTATTTCATAAAACACAATGGTAATGGGCATTATTTTTTTTTTTAAAAATATTATTATTTAAATTTTGTAAATTGATGGAGAAAATGTTTGATCATTTAATTTTAATTTTTATTAATAGAATTTTATTTCTTTCTATTAAATTAATATTAGTATAAAAAGTTCTCAGTTTTTTAAAAAAAAACTATTTATTTGTGTTGTTTTTTTTTTTTTTTTAAATTTTTTTCTTTAAATTTTTTATATTCAAACACACAAAAAAAAAAACCTATAAATTTAAAAAATATTTTTAAATCAATTTTTTTAGTAATATTATTATAAATAATATTTAGAAAGAGATAATAACTAATAATATAAATAAATAATAAAAATTAAATAATAATAATATTTGAATAAAAAATTTTGTAATTTTAAAATAAATAAATACTAAATAAAAAAAAAATGAAAAAAAAAAATAATTTAAATGGTATAAATAAAATTTCAAAAACAATTTTAAAAATTCTAAATAAAAAAAGAAAAAACAATTATAATCAAAGATTCTTTTCATTTTTAAATTTAAAAAAACCAATAAATGGAATATTAAATAGAAACAAATCAATAAGTATATATAATAATAGAGTAATTAATTTTAATAAAAATAATTGTTTTTCAAAAAAAATTAATTATAATTCTGATTTAAATCAAATAGAACAATCATGTGAAAATTATTTAAACAATAGTAATATTATTAATAATATCAGTAATAATAATAATAATAATAATAAAATTAAAAAATTTAAAATTGGTAAATTTTTAAATGAAAATAATTTAATCGATAGTATACCAAGTGGCACCACTCATTTATACTTTTCAACTTATTTTAACGAACCAATTACACCACATCAAATACCTGATTCAGTTATTTATATTGATTTTATTAACGAATGTCAATTTAATCAGCCTTTGGAGCCTGGTTGTTTTGGTCCAAATGTAAAGACCATAAAATTTGGTGATTATTTTAATCAACCATTACTACCAAATGTATTACAATATGGCTTAGAGGAGCTTGATTTAGGAACAACTTTTAATCAACCATTACACAAAGGCAGTATCCCAAATAGTGTTGTTAGTTTAACAATGGGCGAGTGCTATAATCATCAAATTAAACCTTCAGATATTCCATCATCAGTTATTTCACTTTACCTTTCAAATAGCTATAATCATCCATTGTTACCAGGATCTATCCCAGATGGTTGCGAGTTCTTGGTTTTCGGTGATGATTATAATCATCTTATTACACAAAACATAATTCCTTTATCAGTAAAAAAAATATTTTTAGGAATAAACTATAACCAACCATTACTCGATCAATCATTTCCTCAAGATGGATCCATCGAAAAGATTGTATTCAATAGATCATTCAATCAAATTATTAAACCAGGCCAAATACCACTATCAGTAAAAAAGTAATTAATTCAAATATTTATTTAATTATAAATTTTTTAATTTTATATTAATTCTTTTTATTTTTTTATATAGACTATATTTTGGTATTAACTTTGAAAAACCTTTAGAATTATATTCAATACCAACTACAACCCAAAAAATTTATTTCTCTTCAAATTATAGTCATCCATTATATTTATCTCCAAATCAAATTGTTTCTAAATTAGAATAATATTATATTTTTGCATTTTTTTTCATATATTTCACAAATGTTTTTTTCCTTTGTACAATTACACCATTTATTATCAAATCCAATCAATCATTTCTATTCTTCTAGAAATTATAATAATAATTTATTTATAAATTAAAATTATAAACAACTTTAAAAAAAAAAAAATAAAAAAAATAAAAAATAAAAAACATATTAAATTTAATAAATAATTAAAAATACATTTGGTTTATTAGTTTTTATTTGTAAAATAAATATTTAAAATTTTTATACAAAATTAGTTTTATTTAAAATTATTACTAGTATTATTTATATTATTATCTATATATTATTATTTAAGAGATTGCAGAAGTTTGTTGTTGTAATGGTGAAGAGGTTGAAAAGGTTACAGGTTTTCCTTGAGAACCACTTGTTACTAAAATATTATTTGAATTTGGAGGACTTGAAGAGTTTATAATATTTGATGAGGTTGGAGTATTACTATTACTTGTACTTGCACCATTATTACTTGTACTGGTTGTATTTGGTAACAAACCATTTGGAGGATTACCAGAGATAGTTTGCTTTCTTGTTTGAATTGGTTTATTTGGTACCTTACCACGACCTCTAATTGTTTCAGCTTTTTTCTTATGAAGTTGTTCAAAATTTGGATTACTATGTATATTACTTTTGATTGATTGTACCCAACTTTCCATTTCAGCCATATTAGCAGCAGAGATAAAGTAAGCGGCATGATTGGCTTGAACCAATGTACCATCAGAATTTAATTTACAAGCTTTCATTTGCTCTTGTGAGGAATGAAGCATAAAACAAAACTTCTTTTGTAGAACCACTGTTACAACAACATTCTCCAAAGGAATAATACCACATGGTTCTTGATCTTGAGGTGTCTTATAATAAAGTAAACAATTTGCTGTCAATATGAACCAACGTTTCTTCCAAGTTTTAATTCTACCACCTTGTTTAGTGAGCCAACCTTTCTTTTCGACATGTTGATTGGATGAACCATCACGTTCCATTTTAATTTCGTTTGTAACAATTTTATCGTAAACTGATTCCATAAAGTCGGCTGGTAAATCGTCACCATTATTAATACCACTATTATTACGAAGAAACTCTTGTTTGGTCATCTTCTTTTTAATGTTTGGATTATGGGCATCGGTATTTAACATGATAACAGAGAAAGCTAAAACATAAACTGCTTCACTATTTACAAATACTTTATTATCTGGGTTGTGATTGAAAAATTGTTGAGCAAACTTCTCCATCATTCTATCAATCTTTTGAGCTTCACCTGGCAATCTGAAATGCATCAAGAATTTACGAAGGGCAATATCAAAGTCTAATCCAGCAAAATCCAATTGATCGACAAAAGAATGAAGAACTTGAAGGTTAAAATCATCACCATCACCTAAATATTCACCAATTGCTTGTTTTGAAAGTTCTGGATGAGTTAAAAGGAAATGAGCAATATCTTTTGGTGTTTTTTCAGAGAGACCATTAGAGACAATAAACTCGACACCTTTCTTTGGATGGGTATTAAAGTTTGCAATTGCAGTTTTAACGAGTAATCTTCTTTGTTTTTCTTGTTGTAAAAGCTCCAAATCTTCTCTTTGTTGTTGCTCTATTGCTAATTGAAGCTCTTCAGCTTCGTGGTTACTAGATTCACGTTTATTTACAATTTGTTGAATTTCTTCGTGGCTGGATGTACCAAACATTTTAGAGAAATCAACACTTGAACGGGTACTAACTAAATTAAGATCTGCACCAGCTCTAATTAAAACACGAGCAACATCACTATGGTTTTTTTTAATGGCATAGACAAGTGGAGTTTTACCGGCACAGTTTTTAGCATCGATTTTAGCTTTACATGATATTAAAATATCGACTGTATCTCTAGCACCTGCAGCACTAGCTAAATGGAGGGGTGTTGATTGATGAGTATCCATTACATCGACATTGGCACTTTTCTTTAATAAAATTTTAACACAATCGGAATGTCCATTATAAGCAGCATTATGAAGTGGTGTGCCACCTTGGTTATCTTTAATTTCTAATTCTGCACCACTTCTAATTAGGGTTTGGAGACATTTGGCTCTACCGTTGAAAGCAGCTTTATGTAATGGAGTAGCACCTTGATTATCTAAAGAAATGATTGAAGCACCTTTATCAATTAAAAGCTTGGCACATGATGAATGACCATTGAATGAGGCTTTGTGTAATGGAGTGGCTCCCTCTTCATCTTTAATGTTAAGAGTAGCTTTATAACGAATTAATAATTCGACCATATCATATAAACCATTGAATGAGGCTAAATGAAGTGGAGTTGATTGACGACTATCTTTACAATCTATCATTTGTGGATCTAAAATTAAAAGATATTCACAAATATCTTTATGACCATTGAACGATGCTTTGTGTAATGGGGTTTCACCCATTTCATCTACCATATCGATTTTTGAACCCAATTCGACCAATCTCTTTAATAATGATAGGTTTCCATTGAAGCATGCATGATGGAGTGGTGTTACACCTTCTATATCAACACAATTTACATTTTCACCATTTCTAACTAATAATTCTACACATTCAATAAAACCTGCTGATGCTGCATTGTGAAGTGGTGATATACCATGAATATCTCTTGGATCGACCTTTGCACCTTTTTTTAATAATAATGATACACATGATGAATTACCGCTAAATGATGCTTGATGTAATGGGGTTATAAAATCCTGGGGAAAAATAAAAAATTAGATGTTATTCCTAAAGAATATACATTATTTTTAAACTATGTTTATATACTTACATTATCAACAGCATTAACTTTCGAATCAGCTTTAATTAACAACTCTATACAATGTGGATTACCACCAGCCGAGGCATGATGTAGTGGGGTTTCACCGTTTATAGTTGTAGCTTTTGGGTCAGCCTTATTATTTAATAAATATAAAACACATTCTGCAGAAGCAAATAAAGAGGATTTATGAAGTGGTGTACCATTTTTATCGTCTTTGGTATTAACATCTGCTCCACCTTTTTCTACCAATAGTTTGATGCACTCGATATGGCCTCTACTTGCGGCCCATTGTAAGGGTGTATTACCTGCAGAATCTTTATAATTGGCATTTGCTTTTTTATCTAATAAAAAATTAACACATGCTGCTGATCCACAAAATGCTGCATGGTGAAGTGGTGTTCTTTTTTCTGAATCTGTAGTATCAGCTGAAGTTGCTGAATTGTTTAAAAGATTTGAAAGTTTTTCAATGTCACCAATCGATGAATAATAGTGTACTGAAGGTCTAGTTGGTGCTGAATTTGAGGTAGCTTTATTATTACTATTATTATTATTTTGATTCATATTATTTATATTTTGTTGTCCATTTAAAGAATTTGATCCCATGTATTAATTTATTTATTATAGATATTATTTATTGCTATTGTTCTTTGGTTTTATCTTTTTTTTATCAATATTTAATTAATTAAATAATAAAAAAAGAAATGAATAAAAATTAAATTTAAAAAAAAAAAAAAAAAAAGTTTTAATATTACAAAATTTTATTTTATTATTACCTAAAAATAAATAAAAATAAATAAATTAATAAATTTAATAAATAATTTTTATGTATGTATGTATCATATATATTATTATATGTATATTTCAAAAAAAATAATAATATACAAAATAATTAAAATAAAAAAAAATTAACACACACAACACAAGCAAACAAAAAAAAAAAAAAAAAAGAAATTAATAAATAAAAAAAAAAAATAATACAAATATTGATTGGTATATTGAAATCTTGTATATTTGTGAATTCTATTATTATATTATATTGTTAGATTTATTATCATAATGTTAATAAATATCAACATATTAACAAATAACCTAAAAATCTTTTTTTTTTTTTTTTTTTTTTTTTTTTGATTTTTTTTTTTTAAAATTTTATTATTATTGCTATTAAAGTTTATAATCAAAATGATATATTAACAATAGCAAACAACAGCACAACAAACGATTAAAATATCTATGGTGGTTTGTGTATTTGTTAATCACACATAAACCAAATATGAAAGCCCCAAAAATTATATTTTTCTTTTATTATTATTATTTTTGATTATTATTACTTAATAAATATTATGTGTAACTATTATTTAGTATCTGATTAGATTGTAATTAATTATTAATCGAAAGAAAATTTATAACAACACAATAAGAATAACAATAAAACAAAATAAATAAACTATATTAACAATTATATACAACAGTCTCGTGTTTTTTTATTATACTTTTATGTCGTCGTACCTTATGTGACAATAATATACACAAAATTTTGAAATGAAGAAACAAAAAAAGGATATTATACAAATTATAAAAATATATTTTTAATAATAATAAATAAAGAAAATATATTTAAAAAAAATAAAAAATAAAAAAATAGATAAAAATATATATAAATGTTATTTAAAAAACTAATTGAGAGACAATGTGGTTGGTGTGGGTGTAGGTTTATGTATTTGTTATTGTCAATTTGTTTTTTTTTTTTTTTTTTTCTTTTTGTTAAAATGACATTAATATGCGACAAGTAAAAATATAACTGTTATATGAGCCTATTCTATCAACAATGTGTGTTTATTAAAAAAAATTTATTTTGGTATGAAAAAAAAAAAAATAAAAAAAAAAAAACAAAATTTATTACTGTGTGGGATCTGTTTATTATAACTATGTGGTGTCTAGATTTAAACTTACAAAACTATTAACTTTGTTGTTTTTCTTTTTTTTATATCTAATTATTTATCTATTATAATAGTTTATTTATAATCCTTTTTTTTTGATTATTAAATTTAATGTGAAAAAAAAAAAAAAAAAAAATAAAAAAATAAAAAAAAATAAAAATTTTTTTTTAAATTTTTTTTAAAAAAAAAAAATTTTATTTGATTAACGCACTTTTTATATATTGCTATGTTATTTTTTATTTATGATAACTTCACACACACACAAACAAAACCAACACAACACATGAATAATTAAATAGTTCATATAGACGAGATTAAAGCAAAGTTGTGGTTTTGTTATAATAAATAATCATAAAGTTCTATTTAAAGAGCTATTTTTTATAATAAATAAACCAAAAAAAAAACAAAAAAAAAAAAAAAAAAAAAAAAAAAAGATATTTTTAAATTTTATAACCAACCAATTAATTTTAAAATAAATATTTATATAAATAAAAAGAATGTTATAATATATAGAATAAATAAAAAGAAACATATAAAAGAAACAAGAGAAACTTTTTATAGAAAATAAAATATATATTAAAAAAATAAAAAAATAAAAAATAAATAATTTATAGTAAAATGGAAATATTTGCAAATTTACACAATGAATTTTATTAAACTAATTGGGGGAACAGATTAAGACAAATTTTTAATTTTATTCGTTAGCTATGGTATATATAGATATTTTATAATATACACTCAATCCTCTTCTTCAAAAATATTTATTATTTCTTATCAACAACAATAATAATAGTAGCCACAACTCCAACCAAAACTAATAAAAATACAACCAAACATGTAATAATTATGCAAAATAATCTTCCATTGCTTTTTTTTCTTTTCAAACTTTCTAAATCCTTAAATTAAAATAATAATTAATAAAATAATTTTTTTTAATATCTAAAAATAAACAAACAAATAAACAAATAAACAAACAAACAAATAAACAAAAAAACAAACAAACAAATAAACAAATAAAAAATAAAATAAAAAAAAAAAAAAGAATTAAAAATTTAAATACCTTTATTTCTTCTTTATTATTACTATTTTCTTTTTTATATATTTTATTTTTTTCATTTTCCATTTCTTTTTTATATAATAGTTAACTTTATTTATAATAAATTATCTATTTATTTTATTTATTTATCTCAAGGGTAATATTTAATTTAATATAAT